TAGTATTTTCTATGTGGATAAGCATGTCTTCTGCTAATAAAGACATTTTTATTTCTTCCTTTATGAGTTTACATAAATTTCTTATTTTTTCACCGTATTTTATCACCGTATTTTAAAACCTCTAGTATGATTTTGAATAAAAGTGATAATAGTGAACATGTTTCGGTCTTCCTAATTTAAAGGAGAAAGCATTATTTTAATTACCTCTTATTCTCCACGTCTGTGAGAGAGAGATTCCTGTCCTAGGGTCATGGTTGAACACATTACACCTGACATGACAGATGAGATTGAAAGCAGTTTATTAGTCACATATACTCACAGCCCAGGAGAGGATGACACCACCCACTATGCAGGGCCACATAGGGGTTGTACTCAGGAATAGAGTGAAAAATCAGGAGCTGTGGGAAGCAGGCTTTGTACTTTCAAAACAGTTGGATGCCCCTCTGATTCCTGCAGAAGGATGTAATTGACTTGTTTGAATACTTTTTGTAGGTTGGCAGGGAACTGAAACACACTATTCAGAGATAATTAGGAAATACACCTGGTCTGACAAGGAGAGTTGTTTGGCTAGGGGAACTTATCCATGGAAGAAGAATGAGGATTAGGTCATTCCAGACCCTCTAGCTTTTACTAGATGTAAAGACAACATTTTATATCTGTCTATCTATCTGTCTGTCTATCTGTCTATCTATCTATCTATCTATCTATCTATCTATCTATCTATCTATCTATCTAAATACTTACGTGTGTATGTGTGTGTGCGTGTGCGTGTGTGTGTTTAGTATTTTTAATTTGCTATAGGGTAAGTGTGCTTGCCAGAGAGAAACAGACTGAGGGAAAGTGAGAAATCACCTCCCAGAGGTGATCTTGTTTAACATAACGCTATTTTTTGTCCTGAGGTCTACTTTGCTATTAATCCAACCTTTTTGGATTCATGTTTGTACAGTGTGTTTTTTCATCTTTTTACTCTAACCCATATTTATCTTTATATTTAGAGTGAGTTTCTTGTATATAGCATTGAGTTGAGTCCTGCTTTTTTTTCCCCCTTTCTTAAACCCATTCTGTCAATCTCTGCCTTTTAATTAGAATGTTTAAACATGTGCTGTCCAATATGGTAGCCACTAGCTATAGGTATTTGCTGAGCACTTGAAATATGGCCAGTTCAGACTGAAGTGTGCTATAATTACAAAATACACAGCAGTTTTCAAAGATTTTTCAGAATGTAGAAAATAATATAAAGTATATTTATGTATACATATATTTTATTTCTATTTTTTAATTAATTAATTTTTTTTAGACAGAGTCAACCTATGTCACCATTCTTCTACCTCAGCCTCCTAGTTGGAACTTCAGGTGTGTCACCATAATGGGCTCTTCCCTAGATAGGGTCTTGCAGTGTTGTGTAGGCCAGTCTAGATGTTGTGACCCTTCTACCTCAGCCTCCCAAGTCTCTAAGAAAACAGGTATACACCACCACACTCATCCTTCAAGTTTTGTCAGAAATTGAACCAAGACCTCTCATGCAGTCCTTGCTTTCTGAGCTCACAGCATTAGCAGTGCACACCAATCCTATAATTTTTTATACTAATTGTACCTTGAAATGATAATATTTTAGATAAACTGGGTTAAAATATCTTAGTAAGATTCATTTCACCTTTCAAATTTTATTTTAAAATTTTACATTACTAATTACAGTTACTAATTTCATCTTAAAATTTTACATTTTAAAACTTGGCTATTCAAAAATTAAAAATAACATTTGGCTCTCATTGTAGTCCATATTATACTTCTATAGGACAGCACTGATTAAGACAATTTACATCTACTCTAATTATTGATATGCCTGGGTTTAAATTGATCAACTTACCATCACTTCCTATTTGTTAAATATTCCCAAAGGGAAATAATAGAAGAGTTAAACAAATGGAAAGATATATCACATTCTTGGGTAGGATGACTCAATATCATAAAAAGATGTCATTTGTCCCTAAATTTACTATGATTTACTATGATTCTAATGAAAGTATGAAAGTGCCAATAGGCTTTTTTTCCTTTTTTTTTTTTTTTGCCAGTAGGCAAACTGATTTTATTTTATTTCTTCTTCTTTTTTTTTTTTTTTGATTTTTGCTATAGGGTGCATACACTAGCTGGAGAGACAGAGAGAGAGAGAGAGACAGAGAGAGAGAGAGACAGAAAGTGAGAAATCACACCCCTGGGGTAATGGCTATGCTGCGATTCCTTCTTATTCTCCTCTTGGGATTTTGGTCACACACGCACATATGCCTAATGTGGGTTCCACTGCAGTTCAAGACCTGGACCTGGTGTGTGCGTGTGTGCCCAAGATTCCAAGAGGAGAATGGAGGAGAAGGGATTACAGTATGGCTATCCCCTTGGTGGTGATTTCTTGCTTTCTATCTCTCTGTTTCTCTCAGTCTCCCCAGCCAGCACATGTACCCCTATAGCAAAAAAATCTCTCCAAAAAAAGAAAAAAAAGAGAGAGACAACACTAATAATATGTCTAGATGGCCATTCAAGTTTATTGCAGCATTATTCACAATTGCTAAAGCATGGAACCAACCTAAGTGTCCTAAAACTGATGACTGGGTTGAAAAACTGTGGCACATATATACTATAACATGTTACAGAGCTATAAAAAATAATGAGATCCTATCATTTGACTCAAAACGGATGACTATAGAAGACTTAATGTTGAGCAAAGTGAGCCAGACTTTGAAAGCTACACATTGCTTATCCCCACTGAATTTGTACTGAGAGTCTGGGGGGAAAAAGAAAGAGAGGGGAAAAATATTCTTTTGTAGACTTTTGTAATTTCTTTTACATGTCCTGTGAGTTTATTCCTAGGTATTGCATATATTTGACAGCTATAAATTGCAAATCCTCTTGTTAATATTTTTCAGATGGTTGTTTTTGGGGTGGAAAATGATATACATCTTTGTACAATAGTTTTATGAGGTCATTAATGAACCACTCTTATTTTCTCTATTTTTTTGTTGTTGATTTTCATGTGAGCAGTCATTATCTATATATAATGATGACTTTGTCTCTGTTTTCTAATTCATTTACCTTTAATTAATTTTTAACTGCATTTTCTTTTGTTTCTAAAAAGTGTAAAAAAATAATAACAGCAACAACAACAAAAAACATGTCTAGATGGCCAAAACGACATAAGCAAAGTAGAATCCAATTGAGAAATTGTGTTCGAAAGCATTTTCCTTTCCCTTCTCTCCACCTTACTTTTCATCTGACTGACTCCACTCATCCTTTCGTACTCAACTCAAGGGTCATTGCCTTCAGAAAGCCTTTCTGTATGCTCACCAAGGGTATCACTCCTTGATGCTCCTGAGCATGAATGCCTAAGTCATTGCTCTTACCATATTGCTTATAAATTCATTGTAAATTGGATTTTTTCATGTTAGGTTTTTATTCCCAATAAGTTTATAAACCTCAAAGACTTGACATTTTTGATGAGAAAATTACATAATACAGGAGAAGAACTTTTCAATTTCCCCTGAAACTGTTACTTTTGGACTATGACTTTGTGTAAGTTAGTTAATATCTCTGAGACCAAATTTTATCTTCTGTACAAAAGTATGATATTCATATCAAATTTATAATGTTGCTTTGAGAATTAGATGAGTTTATGCTTATAAAAATATGATTATAACTTGAATACTTCTCTCATTCCATATTTCATTGAACCTATTCAACAGGCAGATAGAAGGTATCATTTTAACAAATGTTTACTGAAGGAGTAGATGAATCCTACAGGGTGTATTTTATTTGAAGCAAGACACCCTGATTCTGTGGTGAGTGGGTTTTGTCTGTGGACACAGAGACCACATAGGAAGTCCCTGGGAAAGACAGACTCCCAAAAATACTTGAATAGTAGCACAGAGAAACCAATTCCTGAGAGCCTGTGTGTGTGTGTGTGTGTGTGTGTTGGGGAGAATTTTACCCCATGGGAAGTCCCTGGGAAAGACAGACTCCCAAAGATACTTGAATAGTAGCACAGAGAAACCAATTCCTGAGAGCCTGTGTGTGTGTGTGTGTGTGTGTGTTGGGGAGAATTTTACCCCATTCCTCTGCTGTGCTATTTCACACACAAAAAAGGGAAATCTCTGAGAACTCCAACAGAGTGAAGGAGTCTGTACTCCTTTCTGCACTGCCTCTTGAAGAACAGATAACACATAGGAGAATAGAACCTATGGCCTTCTTAGCAAGCTGATTTTATAGGTATTCCATTCCTTCTGCCCAGTTGGAATTTGTCTGTCAACCCTGTCTAACAGAACTTTTTGTAGTGATGGGAGTGTTCTATGCATGTATTGTTCAATACGGTAGCCACTAGCTGCATGTAACCATTGAACACTACAAATGTGGCTAGTCTGACTCAATACCTAAATTCTACATGTTATTTTAAATTATAGTTGAACAATACAGTTCTTCATTGTGTTATATTCAATTCACTTTTTATCCTCAGCACCTGCATAGAACCTGACTCAGAACAGGTATCAAGGGATGTTTAAGTGAATTATTCTAAATCATGTTACTTTAAGTTCTTTTATTTACTGGATTTACATTTGTCAAATGTATCTTCATACATCACCCCAATAGTAATTCAGAGCAATTCCTGAGATAGACAGGATCTTTGTCTCAATTTGCTGGAAAAGGAACCGAGACTCAATGAGTTTAAGTGATTTGTTCAAGATTATTAAACTTTAATAAGTTCAGAGTGTGAGTAGAACCCAGATCCTTTTTCCCCTCATCTCCCCATACTTAATGAAGATCCTTTGTCCTTGTCAGCCTTCAGTGACCCCTCCCACACTAGAATTCCCACAACCCTCACAGCATATTCCTGTTGTTAGGATTGTGAAAAACACATGTATATTTATCTTGCTGGTTGTATGAAGATGGCTTGTGAATTTTGAAACTGCTCTAATGTGAAGGATATTTGGTCTCTCTTTACTTTTCTGCCTCAGGCTGTCCTTCAACTCCTGGAAGTTCACTGAGCCCTGGGCAAGCATAACCAGGAAATATGTGAAAGTTGAAGCTGTGTGATGCAGAGTAGCCCTCAACCAATGGGCACTTGAGCTGTGGCTCATCTGACTAAACCAGTGAGTTCTATTATACATTCTATTTTAGATTAAAATTGAACAGTTAAGTTTTGTATTGTGTTGTATTTACCTCTTCATCCTCAGCATCTGCACAGAAGATGGGTCAGAAGAGGTATTAGGAAATTAGAAGTTTAATGCCTCAGCCTCCCCATTTTTCAGTTGGGCAGTGGCTGAGATTTTTTCAGTGTTCGATGCAGTTAAGCAGTTCTCTATTACAGCAATCAGTTCGATTGCACTTTTTTTTTTTTCATTAAAAATCTTTTTTTAAGGTTTTTACCATAGAGTGTATGCACTTGCCAGAGAGAGAAACAGTGAGAAGGAAAATGAGAAATCACTCACTAGGGGGGCTGGCCACACCAAAATCCCTTCTCTTCCATTTCCCTCCTAGGATTTGGGTATGCCACAAATAAGCCTAGTGATTTTCAAGTCACCAGGTCTGGGACTTGAACCATGGAGTCAGCCCTGTGGGATCCAGCCCCTTAACCATTAGGCCACCTGCTGGCCCCTTAGCTTCCTCCCATTCCCTCTTTGGCTTTCTACACCCCACTTTTATTTCCTTTCAAACTTGTCCAGAGTTCTTGCCTTAGGCTCTGCTATGGAGAACTCAAATGAAGACCTTACCTAGTCTTACAGTAGCTTTTTAGAGACAACACCTTCCCCTACATGCTTTGTACTTAGCCATACTGGACTTCTTGCAATTTTCTGTTGATAACACACACACTCTTCTATTCCTTGGTTCATACTGCTTCTTCTTCCCAGCACACTCTTCCCTCCTTTTGTCAGGCTAACACCTACTTGTTCTTCAAGATTCAGCTATGCATCCACTCCTCTGTGAAGTTGTCACTGATTACACTTTCATCATCACTACTTCTTAAGAGTTCCATCTCTATAATCCTGAATAGTATTCTGAATAGTTAACCTCTCTCAAAACCAGCATCTCTTGGGGGGGGGAGGGTATGTTCCTTGAGAAGAAGGTGCTTTCCTAGCATGATACTTGTTGCAAAATATTCAATAACTTAGAAACCTTTTTTTTTTTTTTTTCATTCAGGAAACATTTACGGAATACCTATTATGTCTCGCACCATGCTGTACTATAGAATATTACAAAGATGAAGAGACCAACCCCAGGAATTAGGGGACTGGCTCATGATAAAGTGACGGAGAAAGAAATAGTGCATAAAGTATTACAACTGTTGGGACAGAGGAAACGTACTGTTGGAAGACAGAGCGGGTCAGGAACTAGTAGTGTACCATCTTGGCTCTAGAAGATAGTGGCACTTCATCTCGGAAAGGTGGGAAAAAGCATCCCAGGATACTCAGAAATACATCAGCAAAAGAGAAGTCTTTTCTCAAGTTGAGGGCCCCGCCATTGCAAAGGGGCGAGGAGCCAGAACCCAGGTGGCCTGTTTGGCATGCGGTGGGCGCACAACTGCTCTCGACGCACTTAAGCCGAACGCGGAAGTCACGCAGCACCTCCACGGACAGGCACTCCTGGGGAGAAGCGCTGAGAAATCCAGAAATCTGTCCCAAGTCCCAGGGATGAGCACCAACCACAGAGACGCCAGCCCAGCCAGGTTCTGGTCAGCCCCAGGCTCCCCAGCGGCGACAGGGAAGCGCGATCCCAGCAGACCTGGCCCAGGCGCTCCCGAGGCGGCTGAGCATGCTCAGTTGCTAGGACGCGGTGGCTCCGGAGCCCGGAGCCGCGCTGCAGAGTCCCAGCCCCGCAGGCTCTTGGCCCGGGAGGGGGCTCGCGCCGTGGGGGCGGGGCCTTGGGCACCCGCGCCCTCCTAGCCCGCTGGCCCTCGGTCCCCCAGCCCCCAGCCACGCGTCCGCCGCCTGCGCGCCGGCCGTCCGTTGCCCTGGCAACCGTCGTGCCGCGTCTTCCTGAGGGAGTTCCTGTCAGCCCGCTGACCCCACCGCCCGCTCCCCACTGGCCCGCGGTTTTCGCGTGGGCTCGGAGACTGAGGGACAACAAAAATGGCGGAGCGGAGCCAGACAGCGCCTGAGGCAGGTCTGTGGGGGCGGTGGATCAGGGGAAGGCTGAAGCGGCACGGTTGCCCTGGGCCTGAGGAGATTGGGGACTTGGTTATGGCCCTACTCCTTAGGAGGCACCCCTGTGTATTTGGGCGGTGGGGCTGTGACCTCGAGGTCAGGGGTCAAGGAAGGTGTATACTCCACTTAGTGGTGGGGCTGGATTTCGGAATCTCGGTGGCTGAGGGGTATGTAGGGAAGTGTGCACACTTGTGAGTGACCACGAGCCCAGAAATAGCTGAGACCCGAGAGAAGACTTAGGACCCTAATTCTGAGGGGCACCTGTGGTGGGGCTGATCCTAGGGATGGGTTGTGTCATGGAGAGGGTGTGGGCAGCCCTGTGGGAGCATGGGGGGATCTCTAAAGGGGCATGATGGGGTGGGGTGAGGCTCTGACTTTGAGGAGACAGCAGTATGTGGAAGGTGCTTGACTTTACCATCAGTCCCATGGAGGGGGTTTTACACAAGTGTATTTGTGCTTTGGGAAAGTGTAGTGTCCTCAGGGTCACTTCTGGTCCCAGTGAAAGTATAGAGTTTTTGTATGGGTCCCTAAAGGGACAAGAGGCTTGAGAGGACACCCAGAGCCTCAGTCCTTTAGGAGCTTATGGTAGGAGGCTGGAGCCTGAGTGTGGGTATATATGGAATCAGTGATCTTGAAGGTCACTCATAATCTAAAGTAGGTGCATGTCCACATCTCTATGGGTGGAACATAGTCTTTAAGTGACTGGGAGACTCACAAGAAGGGAGACCCAGTATTCTACTTTGGAAAGAACCCGTTGTGGGTATGGTTAAGCTCAGAGACATCTCTGTGAGTGGAACATAGTCTTTTAGTGGCTGGGAGACTCACAAGAAGGGAGACCCAGGATTCAACTTTGGAAAGAACCCCTTGTGGGTATGGTTAAGCTCAGAGACATAGTGACCCCTATAGGGTCATGAAGAAAGCAAGATTTTTTTAGCCCTGTGTATGTGGGAAGGAGTTTGTCCCTAAAAGATACTGAGGAATGAAGAGCTTCAATGCAATGGGTAACATGAACATGTGTGTAGAAAAGTAGTGGCTTTGGGGATATGTGTGGTGGTGGATGGTGGTTATATACAGCCTTGTATATGTGTGTCTAAATTAGGTATTATGATTATAAGAGTGACCCACTTGAATCACTCCATTCCTGGTATGTGTGTGTGTGTTGGGGAGTGGATAAGGCTTTACAAGACCTGGGACTGGAAACTGTATGAACCCGTTAGGAAAGTTTCAAGGGACCGTTGTCTCTCCTTTTCTTTCTTTCATAGCATCTCTGTTCTTCAAATTAGTTTTACTCATTTTATAGTTTTATTTCTCTTATAACTTGAATATGTTCATTCCTTTATTTATTTATCTACTCAAGAAATCTTATTGAGTGGTAAATATATGCCTTGTACCAAGTTAGGCACTGGAAATTCCATGCTTCTGATTCTCTTACCTTGCTCTTTTTTCTCATAGCACTTACTGCCTTTGAACATGCTATTTAATTTGCCTATTTGTGTTGTTAATTGCCTATCTTCTTCAACTACAATATAAGCTCTGTTTTGATTTTCATTCCACAGGTCTAGAACCATACTTAGTGTATAGTAAGTTCTCAATAAATATGCTCTAAAAAAAGTAACTGAATGATTTCCTATTATGTGAAAGTGATATTTTAGCTGAGCTATGATAAGAATTGAATAAGTGAAAAAAGGGCAAAGAGCAGTCTAGGCAGTGGGAAAAATCATGTGCAGATACTCCCAAGGCAGGTGGAAACATGATGTGCTGTATTTGAGAAACTTGAAAGAGGCAAAAGTGGATACATATTGGGCAGTGGGAGGAGAGAGAAGGTAAGTTAAAGCCAGATTTTGTAGTACCTTGTAGGCTATTAATGAATTTTGGTTAAAAAAAAAACCCTTATAATAATGGGAAGCTATTGAAGGCTTTTACGTGGAAGCATGGCATGATAAGAATTATTAAAAAAAAATTCTGGCAGTATGGAGAGTGGATACAGGGAGACCTGTTAGAAGGTAGCTGTAGAGATGAAAAGAAGGAACTGGAAAATATTTCAGAGATAAGTGAAAAGGACTTAGTGAAATATGAGGGTAAGGGAGATGAAAGTATTAAAGACTACTTCTCATTTTATAGCTTTTGCATCTGGATTGCTTGTGATTCCATTACTGAGATAGGGCGCATTGAAAGGAGTCTTGGCTAGGTTTTAAAGGAAAGATCATGAGTTTGATTTTGACATACGAAGTTTGAGGTATCTTTAAAACAATCAAATAGGTGGAGAGATTGGCAAGGCAGTTGAATTTAAAAATTTGAAACTGGCATAAGACTATTGTTTTGGCATGTACATGGGCCTGAAGCTGTGGATATGGATGAAATTAAGTAGCAGAAGAGGCCTAGGATAAAGTATTGAGTAGCCATATTATTTCAGTGTCTTAGAAAGAAACAGAGGGATACAACTAGAGAGATTAGACAACAACCAAAATAATTTTTCAAGATAAATAGAATACTCAAAAGACTGAATAATACCAAGTGATGTGGAATGAAGATTGAAAAACTAGATTTAACAACAGGGGGGTCATTGGTAACTTTGAAGAGAGAAAATTGATGGGAGAAAAGTCAGGTTACTTAATGTCTGCATTGTTACTATTATTTTTTTTTTAAAAATTATTTATCTTATTTTTTCTCTAATTTGTTAGAAGGCATGTTTATTCACCAGAGAGAGAGAGACAGAGACAGAGAGAGAAAGCCACCAGGTCTGGGACTCAAACTGCAGTTGGCCCTGTGGGAAATCCATCTCCTTAACCATCATGCCACCTGTTGGCCCCTGTTTGCATCATTATTTATTGGCTTTATCTTTGTTGCTTAATTCAGATTTACAAGAGAGAGAGTTTCATTCCCACTCACTGTCTTACCACTAGATCACAGTCCAGTGTTATGATTAACTGTTCATGGTATACGTGTCTAGCTATTGCTAGCTAGAGTTTCCTGGTACAAAATATGTCCATCTGGTGATTTATCATCTTAATACTAATAGCTAACATTTATGGAATGTTCATTTTGTGGCAGGCATTGTATTTTATATGTTTGTATGTTTTAATTCACTTCAGCCTCATAACACTTCTCTAAGATATCACCTATATTTTACATGTGGAGAAGTTTTGGCACAGAGAAGTTGAAAAAACTTGCTCAAAATCTGCAAAGAATACTATAAGATTTCATTTTTTTCAGGCTATTTTATTATTACCCCGATTCATTATTTGGCTTTTTGTTTGTATTACAACATACTACATATTGAATAAATCATGGCTGTGATGAAAATTGTTGCCCAACGGGAAATATTCTAAGCTAAACATATTTTAGCAAGGTGAGGTGGAAAGAAGTTGTATAAATCCTGTTTCTGTGACTTTATTAGATGTGAACCTTGGGCTCAACTCTTTTGCTCTTCAGTTTCCTCATCTGTAAAAAAGAGATGATATTTGCAGAATAGTTGTGAATATTAGATATAATGAGCTAGCCCAGTAATTGTCATTTCTTTAATTCATTTAAAGCTTGAATGTAAAACCATTTCAAATGTATTAGCATGCAGTGATAAATACAAGACTTTTTCTCTCTTTTTTTTCTGATAAACACTTTCTATTTTTATTCTTTATCAGTAGAACCAGTTTGCTATCAGAAGAAAGGCAGACACCAGGTTTTGGAGAATATAGAGTTATTTGTATAATATGGAACCTGCTTCTTTGTGAGGTCAATTTTGAGGAATTTCTTGGAGAAGAAAAGGGAAAATTAAGATTTTTTTCAAGTATGCAAATAGCTTTGTAAGAAGGTCAGAGTTGCAAAAGAGTTTTTTTTTTTTCTCTTAAATTATGTATTTTAAAATGGAGACTTAGATGTCAGGACTTTAAATTTCCTCCAGTAATTTGACTATTAATAATGATAATTAAAAAAAAAACTTATAGTTAACTAAATGTAGGAGTGTTAGGCTTAAGGTAGATTTGTACTTGCTTCAACTTCTTAGCTTATCTTTCCTTTCTAACTATCATAGAAAAGCTTTTGTTTGAATTACTTAGTAAAATATTTTGTTTTCCTATATTGCCAAATTTGTTATTCTTTTCAAGGCCCATATAGACAAGAGTTTTTAGAATTAAATAATCTGTTAAAATGGGCTATTGGGGGACCAGCAGTTAGCGTAATGGCCATGTTGCTGGACTCCCACGTAGTTGACTGCGGTTTGAGTCCTGGACCCGGTGGCTTAAATTCACACTGGGCGCGTGTGCGTGCGTGCCCAAGATCCCGAGAGGAGAATGGAGGAGAAGGGATTAAGGCGTGGCCATCCCCCCTGGGGGGTGATTTCTCGCTTTCTGTCTCTCTACCTGTCTGTCTGTCTGGTGAGCGCACGCGCCCTATAGCAAAAACCTCTCCAAAAAAAAAAAAAAAAAAGAAAAGAAAAAAAATGGGCTATTGGGAATGAATTATTTGTTGGTAATTTATTGGTCCACAGCATCACTACCACCACCACGATGGGTAAGCCTACTTAAAAACCTACTTAAAAATAAATAATGAAGGTGTAGCTCTGATGGCACAGACAGGAGGGGCTCTGCTGCCTAATAATGGAGGCAATACAAGGAGGCTCTGGTTCACATCCTGGATTTACCTCAATTTGCTGGGTTTCCCCATGAATGTATTCATGATACTGGTTGGCTGCATGGCTGAGGGATTACAATAAATGAAGACTCTTTAGGGTGTGCGTCTCTCTCTCTCTTTTTGTCACACAAATAGTATTTTAAAAAAATTTAAAGAAAGGACTATGCCTTGATCACCTTGCTTGTGAAATAATTGACTGAAAAAATCACCTGTTTATGAATCTGAAATAATCTATAGATAGAATTTTGAAAGTTTTAAAAGCATTAGATATGAAAATATTGGGGCCTGACAGTGGCACAGTGATAAAACACTATTCTGAGATGCAGATCCATG